ATCTCTTCCTGCTGCAGGGCTGGTGGTAGCCCAGGTAACAGCACCAAAGTGCCTTAAAGGAGGATTTTGAGGTCTCAAGGTTTCATGATTGATGGATTGAGGCAAATCTGAGCCCACATTTTTGCTGGATGCACTGTCCCAACTCCATAAATAATGCCAGGAGCTGCATCACTGACCAGGATTGCATGGGATGTCTTCAATATGTCTTTAATCTGACTTAGAGAAGTCTTGGTGCCCTGCCCCAAAGCTTCCACCCTTCAGGAAGAGTTTATGGGTACAAGGGAGGAATGGGGGCTGGAGGGTCTGCACAGGGGTTGTGTCCAGACAGAGGACAGGCCATACATGGATGGAACCTTTAAAAGGTCCCTTCCAACTCAAATTATTCCATGATTCTGTACAGGGGATGGGAGATTCTTGTGACTGGGGCTGTGAGACTCCAGTGTTCTCCACTGTGGTAGGTGGAGTATCAATCACTCACGTGCTCCTTTGTAATTCTTTGGTCTAAATCCTTCCTGAACCCAATCCCAAACCTGCAACAAACCATAGCCGCACTGAAGAAGACAAGGGAGGCTTGTGCTGGCATTTCTGTGGAATGATTGCCTTTTTTTTTTATAGAATTTTGTTACATTCACAGGAGGCTGATCATGGATGTGTGAGTGTGTGTACCTCAAAAACTCAGAACAATTCCTGTCCAACTAAGCTGTTCTTATTGAGGTTGATAAATTTATCAGCTGGTCCAGACTGACAAATTTCAGGAGCTATGGATGAGTTACTGCTACTAAGGTGAATGATATGTGTATATTTAGTGCAGATTCAGCTCTGAGCTAATTACTGCCTCCAGCACCTGAACTGTATTTTTATAGATGGGTCATAAAACTGATGTAGTGACCAATTGACCCACCTAAAAACGAAGAGAAAGATATTTTTATCAGGGCTAACATTATCCAAAAGGCACAAGGAAAAAACCTGGCAGGGTTGTTTCTCATCCTTCTTGTCCCCACCCTTGTGTCCCTTCTCTTTGCCTCTTCCTCTTGAAAGCCCTTGAGCTGGTCTAGGACAGGCCCCATCCTCAAGGAAACGGTTACAATAATCAAAACTAAATTTTCTTATTAGCTGTGAGGAATATGCAGAGAAGGACAAATGTGTTGGGGTGCAAGATTTTGTCAGGAGGGGTCGAGAGCCCAATGCCTCTCTGGCTGGAGGCAGAGCCCTTCCCAGAGTTCAGCCATTGGAAACACATGTGGAAAGAGAGGGAATTTCATGGGAAAAGCAAAGAGCACATCCCTGATGCAGCTCTAAAGAGAGGAGCCACAAAATCAAGGGAAAAACCGTCTCACTGCCACATCTGCTGCAGACATGAGCAGAGCAAGATCCCTGAGGAAAGACAAGGAAATAATCTGTAAATGAGCCTGTGGAAGAAGAGAGGGTAGCAAAAGTGATGTAATTCAGCTTTTTCTCTTGAAAATGTCTGTTTTAAAAATAGCCCCATGTTAGTCTTTCAACAGTGACACATAGTGAGCTCTGCTCTTTATGGAAAAAAAAATAAATTCTAGAGATGTAATGGCTCATCTCTGCCCTGTGCCTGTCATCTAAAGGGTAAGATATCTTACATAAAAGAGGATTTTATATTCCAGCATTAAACCAGCCTCTCTGAGGCTGAATTTAATCAGTCAGGAAGGTGGAGACCCATTACCAAGTGCTGCATGGAATAAGGTCTCCAAAAGGCAGGAAGGGTTGTTTTCCAAATGTGCCACTGTCAAAGAGGATCAATGGAATCATCAGCAATCAAACTGCACCTCTCCTGGAAATATCTGCTTTAAACTTATCCACTTTAGGCAACAATAGCAAGCTCAGGCAGTGGAAAAATGCTATTATTTAATTTTAAGGACAGGACAGTGCATCCAGCTCTCTTCCAGTGCCACAGGGTATCCCTGGCTACAAGACATTACTGTCATGCACTCAAAATGCTGCACAAAAAGGTCTTTTCTCTAGGTAAAACCAAAAATTCCAAGAGTGGTAGGAAATACTCAAAATAAGCAAATATCCCTCAGCCAGGAGCAAAGAATTGATCTGCTACCCAGGAAGAGAAGGAGAATTTGCCAAAACCCAGCTGCTGCCCATGTGCATAGAGAAATAAAACCATAAAATAAATAAATAAAATAAATAAATAAAACCATAGAATCATTAAGGTTGGAAAGATCTCGGGGATTATGAGATCCAACTGCTGACCATGATCCACCTCAGGTTTGTGACAAGCCACTACCCCTTTAAGGGAGGAATTAGGGCCAGAGACTGCCACAAAATTGATGTTTGCCAGTGCTGGGAGAAGAGAGGATGGGTTTGGATCTGCAATTTCTGCTGCCACAGACTGAGATCAGCAAAGCTTTCTCTCTGCACGGCAATAGCTCTGCAAAGTCAGACTGGAAATCCCTTCCTGAGGGATTTCCTTTCCTTTTCTGCTGGGCAGAAACCACGTGCACTGTTTGTGAGCAGCCTTCCCTTGTCCTGTGGAGCCTTGCAGCCCCTTGTGCTGTGCTCCTGACTCTGCCATGAGTTCAGTGCAACCATCTAGAAGTGATTCCCTGGTGCACAATCCCCAAAGGAAATGCTTGTTTTACAGGCAGGTGGTTGAGGTGCATCAGATCTGCCCCTTTAAACCTCGTGTCTCACCTGGGAGCTGCTGAATTAGAGCCAAACACCCACAGAGTAAAACCATTAAGGAATTTCACTCACACACACATCCCTGCTGGCTGCAAACACACCAAGAAGACACTCAGGCTTTGGGGGAAAGGAAGGAGGGGTGGCAGTGTCACACAGCCATGTGTACAAAAATCAGAGAGAAACCAAAGGTGTGGTGATGTATTGTATTTGCCAGGATCCCCAGTGAAGGGAGGAATGATGAATCTGACCCCATGTTCTCAGAAGGCTAATTTATTATTTTATAATAATATATTATATTAAAGAATGCTATACTAAACTATACTAAAGAATACAGAAAGGATACAGACAGAATGCTAAAAAGATAATAATGAAAACTCCTGACTCTTCCCAGAGTCCCAACACAGCTTGGCCCTGGTTGGCCAAAGAGTGAAAACAATTCACACCAGAATCCAATGAAACAATCACCTGTGGGTAAACAATCTCCAACCACATTCCAAAGCAGCAAAACAGAGGAGAAGCAAATGAAATAAATATTGTTTTCCTTTTTGTCTGAGGTTTCTCAGCTTCCCAGGAGAAAAATCCTGGACAAGGGGATTTTTCAGAGAATGTGAATGCCACAGTGATGCCGTTGGCATGAGGCTGCTGCATCCCCAGCTCTGCCAGCCCAGCCCTGTGCCGCCTTCCTTCCCTGGCAGTCCCTGAAGTCATACAGAGCATATTCTGAGGTGGAAGGGAGTTCACGTCCTGCTCTGCCTCCACCTTCCCCCATCAGCACCCCTCAGTCTGTGTCTGTGCTGTGCCTCACAGCGGGGAGCTGATGTGCACAGAAGTTGGTTATCAGGAGCCCAACAGGGTCCCCAGGGTCACACACTGATGTGTTTAGGGATGAGGGTGGGGACAGTCCCTCCCAAAACATGTGGCATTGAAAAAACTCTTTCCACACTTCTCCTTTTAACCAGTGTTTCATAGCAACTGCTTTCAGCAGGAAAGGAGTAGAGAGGAAAATGGGGTCTTGTTGCTCTAAATTAAACATTCCACACGTGCAGGACACCAGGGAAGTGCCACCAACCAGGGAGTGAGAGCAAACACTTGCCCCAGAAAATGCAGGGTATCACCCAGGCAGACCCACAGAAATCAACAGGGCAATTGCTGAGCCAACACCTCGAGGATGTGTAATGATGCAGTGGGTGCCAAGTGTCAGAAATGTCCCTTAAGTGTCAGAAATTTCCATTTGTATTTATTTCTTTGCTAAGGGAACTGTTCCCATTACCTGTGCTGCAGTGAAATCTCCACACAGCAAGTTACTGTGTTTAATTATTCATTTCCTGAAGGTAAACAATTCACCTTCCCTTTTCAAATCTCTCCCCTTCCAGAGCAATAAAACCTGTGCATACTTTTGTGTGCTTGCCCTGCTTCTCCTGCCTATCCTTTATTGTAAAAATACATATCCCAGTCCTTCTTTTCCTAAAGAGGAGCAACTTCTTGTAGACTTCTCACCATAGAATTCATTCCATAAGGAATTCAGGTGCTGCACAAAGCAATCCCAAAGATACACCCAGGGCAAGGGTCACTGATAATTTAATGGAAATTTCTTTCCTGTGGGAATGTGCTGCAGTTCCTAACACAGGGCACTACTATGTGGATTTTTTGTTTGGTTTGGTTTTGTTTGTTGGTTTGGTTTTTGGGGTTTTTTTGGTTTTGTTTTTGTTTTGTTTTTTGGGGGGGGAAGGGGGTTTTTTGTTTTGTTTTTCGGGGGGTTTTTGTTAAGGTTGGGATTAAATGTGTGAGATGGTATTTCTTGTTTGGACTCAGATGTTTATTAGTTCTTATTTACATTACAATCTCATAAAGTGTGAGTTTTATAGTACTTCTTTCTAATAAGTTAAAAATACAGCTGTATCTTTTTCTTTATTAGGTTTTTTAAAGGATAAATTTTCTAATTAAGAAATTACACAAGTTATTTTTACTTTTAACTTAATAACTAGCTACTCATGGTCTGTAATGATGATTTCTTTATCTAATTACACAATACTACTTAACTTTATGAAGAAGAAGGGAAAGAAGGACCAGCTTCTGCTTTAAAACTTCCATCTTGCTTTATAAATATTACTATATTCTAAACCCTTACACTCTAGGTTTTCCACCCTGTGATATCACACACTTCTATTCAAACTGCACACCCACAATCCCAGTTCTGTCATTCCATTTTGGAAGCTTCTCCACGGCCTCAGGTCAATGCAGTGTTCTCTTGGGGGTCAGTGCCTGGCAGCACAGAAAGTCTGAAATTCTCAGCAGCCAGGGCTCCAACAGTTCACCACTGTTCATTTCTTCTCTTCCAGGTGGGCTGCAAGGCCATGATGGTTTTCTTCCAGTACTGTGTCATGGCCAACTTCTTCTGGCTGCTGGTGGAGGGGTTGTACCTTCACACCCTGCTGGTCATCTCCTTCTTCTCGGAGAGGAAGTACTTCTGGTGGTACATCCTGATCGGCTGGGGTACGCGTCTCCTCAGGAGGGGATCCTGCCTGGGGTTTGTTTGTAGCAGGAATTCAGCACAGATACCTGGGCACTCAGGTGGGGCAGGGATTTTGTAGACAGCACCCAGGCCCCCCTAAATCCTGAGAAGGACTGGATGAGAGGCTGGACACGAGTTCAAGACGTGCCCAAAAACCCAACTGTGTCCTGGGCTGAACCAACAGAAGCACGAGGAGCAGGCTGCGGGAGGTGATTCTGTCCCTCTGCTCTCCTATCTGACATCCACTGCAGAGATGCACCCAGCCATGGGGTCCCCAAAATGAGAAGGATGTGGAGCAGTTGGAGCAACTCCAGAGGAGGTCACAGAGATGCTCCAGGGCTGGAGCCAGGCTGGGAGAACTGGGAATGTTCACCTGGAGAAGATCCAGGGAGAGCTCAGAGCCCCTTCCAGGGCCTGAAGGGGCTCCAGGAGAGCTGGAGAGGGACTGAGGACAAGGGATGGAGGCACATGACACAGGGAAGGGCTTCAAACTGACAGAGAGTAGATTTGGATTGGATATTGGGAAGGAATTCCAAATTTGGTATCATGGATTGACCTTAAATTGTAAGGATGGATCCCAGCAAAGCAGAACTCCTGGACTGAAGCAGAAACTGAATTCAGGCCAGCCAGCTGCCCTGAGATCCCATCACCTGTGTGCTAATGCTGATAACATTCTGCTCACTGCACTGGTGATTTCTCCAGTCTTAATGTAAATCCAGTCTCAAATGCATCAAATAAAATTAAATAAAAATCATATAATGAAAAAATACTATAAAATAAAATATATTTTAAAATAAAATAAAATAAAATAAAATAAAATAAAATAAAATAAAATAAAATAAAATAAAATAAAATATAAAATAAACAAAACAAAATAAAATTAGAAAAATGGTAAGGAAGAGATAATTAAACTCTTTACAAAGTTACTCACAACTGAATTGCTGACTTATGCAAATTAATCCCACCAGATCAGCTTTTATTTTTTCAAAAAGAAAACAGATTTTTTTTCGCCTTTCATACCATTTAGTTGAAAATTTATATTTAAGTAAGCAAATAACTTTCTATTGCCTGCTCTCAGTAGCTGAAACAGAAATAATAAGAGCAGGAAGAAATCTTGAGAAGAAAAGGTAAAATAAAATTGTGCCATGTGCAGGGGCATGCCAGGACTCAGGATTTGCTCAATTATCCATGGAGTAACTCCCATTGAAAGTGGCAGGAGCTATGCTTGGCTTCACACTGCAAAGCAGAGATGATTCTCCCTGCTCTGGGCAGAAGGAGGGATGATGGGAGCAGGTCTTGTTTCAGTTCCTCAGGTCAGACCTTTGTTAAACTCACCTTGCGCTCCAGATATTCTTTATTTCAGCACTGGAGAGCTGAAAGTTTAAAGAAAAATGCATGAAGGCAATGATTTAAATCAAAGGAAATTTCTTGCGCTCCTCATGTGTCCTGAGGTTGCTTGGGTGCAGAAGGGCAATTCCAGAACTTAGCAAGTGCTTGAGGGAACTTTTGGCCTTTCAGTCATCCATCATTTGCAAGAGCATTAGGAATGGATCTGGATTGGATTATGCATGAATTAATAATTTGGATGCTCTAATTACAGTTTTTACTGGTTTTAGTAGTATTGTACTTGGAAATCACTGGTAATAAAGTGTACACAATCTGTGACTAACACAGAGCAAAGAGATGTGTTCTCCTGTGAGTATTTCCAACCTAAATCCAGTCAAGGATTAGAGAGAGAAAAGAGCCAGCACAAGGAGGGGACAAGACCACCCAAACGTGTCAGACCATGGAGTGAGGAGCAGAGGCAGCTTCACCTGGCCAGCTACAGACAGCTGTGTGTGAACTTGGCACTCCAGGCTCCCTTACAGGGCAGAAGAGTCCAGGGATATTTCATATTTATTGTTCTAAATCAAGCATTTAATGTAGCTGGATGGTCTCTGTGTGAGAAACACACAATTCTGCCCCTTGGTGCTCAGGAGAGCCTGTGGTGACATCCTCAGGTACAGGTGTCCACACTGTAGGTGGCTCAAGTGATTCCTATTCCTTGCATTTCACCCCTGGAAGGTTTTTTTAGGCACTGCAACAGGAATTTCAGCATGCAGGTAGCAGTTTCAGAGAGCTGCTCTTGCATGGCCACAGGGAGGGAAATGCAACATTGCCTGCTTGGCATGTGAGGGTTGAAAACATGAAGTATTTTCCTACCCCTGAGGGAAGGCATCCCCTCAGTCACTCAGGAGAGGTGGAGAGAGAGGGAGAAGAGCCCTGAGAAATGAGACAGATTTTAAATAATCTGGTAATGAAATCAGATAATGATTTCTGACAGCAACACCATCTCTTCTCTCCTCAGGTGCCCCCTCCGTGTTCATCACTGCCTGGACAATTGTCAGGATTTACTTTTTCGATGTTGGGTAAGCCTCTGCACTCAATTATCTTTCCTTTATGGCCAAGGAAAACCCTGAAATCTTAGCAACCCAAAAAACAGCAGCAGTGGCACCTCTCCCCTGCCACCAGGAACCAGGAAACGCTCCAGGGTCTCCCTGAAATGTCACTTTAGGCCAATCACTCCCCCTCTTTACTTCCCAGTGCCTTGGTCAGGATATTTGTAGGGAATTTGTGAGCAGACCTTGATGGTTGCATTTGTCCCTCTGCTCAGAGCAGTTTTGCACCCTGCAGAATTGACCCTAAATATGCAGCAGGGAATTTATAAACACACCCAATTCTCTCCCACAGGAAAAGCCTAAAAATTCTTTTTTTTTTAGTTTTTTCTTAAGCCGATTTTAGGATCTATTCTTCATCCCATTTCACCTAGCAGCAGCCTTTGATATTTTGTATAAGAAGCAGAGAGAATGCAGCTAAGAAAATGAGGTAGACACCAGAGTTATACAAGAATATGTGCAAATAGAGAGGATTTGATCCTGAAATGCTCATTCTTGCTTTTATTCAAGCGGTCAGGCTGCAGTAATTGGAAAGGATTTTATGGGAAAACACCCCAGAGAGATGCAGAATCAAGTGCTTATTCTGTCCTCAGTGTGCATTCCCTCACTTCTTGCATTTGCATCCTGGAGTTAAATCCATTTTCTCCCATGCATTCTTCCCCTCCAAATGTGTCCTGATTTGCCCCTTTTTCACTACAAGAAGCAGCTCAGATTTCTCACTGCATTTTTGATTTATAGTCACGCCGGCACATTTCCTGAGGGCTACTCACTTCCTTTATGGGTTCACTCTATCTGCATAAAACTGACCTTATTTACTCTGTTAATAAATAGCCTCTACAATGAGACAGAGACAGGAGGATTTAACCATTCTGGATGCCAGTTTTCTTACTATATTCCCATTCAGCTCCAAAAATTCTTAATAAAAATACAGAATTATTTGTATTTTCTGGGGCCTTTAAATCCCTACATTTTTGTGCTGAGTAAAACAGAGCATGAATTTATAGAATATATTAATACCTAACCCAGATTTTTTTTTCATTACCTGCAGACAAAAATTACAGGAAATTAATCCAGATTAAATAAACCCTAATTAGGTAAGATTGCTTAAACAACACTAAGACTTTATTTAAACATTCTATCTCCAAGTGAAAGTGACCTTCATTCAGACTGTCTCAATTTATTTCAAAAATGAAGTGCACTAGACATAATTAGGGCCACTTTATATGAAAGGGCAGCACACACCTAACTGGAAGCATCTGTATGTGAGAAATTTGCTCCCTCTCCAAAAGGGCAGATTTAGTCAGTGTAGTCCACAGAGTGAAATTTTTATCATCCCAAAGTTGATGCTTAATATAGGTCTTGGGAACTGTGCCCTAAAAGTGCCTCTCTTCATCTTCTACTGCCTTCCCTGCCAACATTTGGAATTAGAGGAGCTGAATCTGGGTGAAATTGTCTGCAGTAGGCACCACTAATCTATCCTTACATGAAAGCAGCCCAATTTCCATGAATTCTTTCCTAAAAATGCACCTTCTGTCACCTGACTGTGCAGATAAAGGTGTCCCAAGCAATATCAGTCATTTACACATCAGTCCTTCCCTCTCATTTCCTCGTTGGTTTTAAAATGCAATAACAGGTGAGGGGTGGTGTGTGCAGACATCTCTGGCTTCAGGATGAAATAAATCCCACCCTGGACCCTGGGGACTTTTCTAACACTGTCCATAGATGAGGTGCAGCTTGCTGGATTTATGGGACTAATTCCACCACTGGCTGGAATTTTTTTTCAGAAGGATGTGATGGTTTTTTTGTTGGGGTTTTTTTGGGTTTTGTTTTTTTTTTCTGCTGGTGCCAATTGCTCTGTGCTTATCAAACACCCTCCATCCAGGATGGTGGAGAGCACTGGAGCCCTGGTGAATTTTTTCATAAATTTTGATCAATTTTCATGGTTTCTGTAACATTTCCCTGCAGCAGAGCTCAGTGTAAAAGAAATGAAGAAAAATCACCATCCTCCCCCACATTCACCCTGCCTAACATGCTCCAGCCCAATCCATGGCCAAGGGGGAAAAAATTGGCATTACCTCTAGGATATTTGGTACCTACCAGTGCTCACAGCCACTGCAAAGCAAGTTTTGACCATTCCCAGTCCATACACATGAGGTTTAGTTCTCTTCACATAACCCACCTAGCAAAACTTAGCTTTTAGGGAAAGCTGAGAAGGTTACAGACCTGCTTGCTTGCTGTGCTTGATGTTTTAAGTCTGGCTTTGTTTCTTTTTAGGTGCTGGGAAGAAATAGTGGAATCCCCATTCTGGTGGATCATTAAAACTCCTATTTTGGTGTCTATTTTGGTAAAGTATCAGCACGTTCTGCTGGCTGCAAAGCCATCTTTAGTCCTAACTGGGGAGGGGTGAAGGGGTGTTGAGAAGTGTCCCGTAAATGTCCATGGAAAATGCACTGCCAGGTAAAATCCCACTGTACATTGAAAATTTGCTTTAAGATGAGGAAATTCCTCCTGCAAACAAACACCCTCACCTGCAGCATTGACCACAGGAAGAGTTTGAGTGACCAGGCCACCAGGGTGGAGCTGACTTGATGTAGCTGTGACCACCTCCATCTCCTTGGTGGGGTGGCCATGGGAGATGAAGGAATGTGGTTGAACATCCAGGAAAGGCTCATTTTGCCTCAGGAATCAGTGAATTCCACCAGATGACCCATGCTAGGAGTGGTTTTGTTTCTCTGAGCTGACCAGGATGACTTGTTCAGTTGTAGATGTCAACACTACAAATTAACATGAGTCCTACTGTGAATTTCCACTTAGATAAAAGGGAGTAGAGGAATTCCCTCAGGAATTTGTCTCTTGCATCCAGTACAGAGTTGCATTCCAGCTGTGTATTTTTGGAGTAAGTTCTAGAGGAGTTTGGCTAATTTCCACAAAAATCAACAGAAGTATTTTATTTTAATTCTCTGGATATGATCAATCCTTACCATAGAAAACAGGACACTTCTCAGGAACTCTGGGTCCTTCCATCCTTGTTGAACATTGCTCTGTTGGGCATGGATCCAAACCTTAAAATCAAATGAACTGGAGTTAAACTTAGTTTTGAGTTTTCTTAAATGAAGTCAACGATGTGGGAAGGGAAGCAAAAAAAAAAAAAAAAAAAAAGCAACAGAAACCAAATCAAATCAATCTCTTTTAAACAGAAATCTTTCCTTAGACATCCTTCTTATTCCACGCACATTATGACTTTTACAAGAAGACTATTTTTTTTCCCTGTGGCATTTATCATGCAGGGATTCCAGACTGAAAGTTTCAATAATGACATCTTGCTCTGTTTACCTCATTGGAAAGAAATATGGAGCATAGATGACACATCTCCAAATATTTATATCATCCTGGAAAGCTATAGATAGTATTTTGCTTTTCCTGAGATAAGCTTTCAGTCAAAAAAACACACCCTTTTATTCCTCTTGGATCATTGGGTCAGTCTTTTCTTTTGGCCAATAAATCTTTTCCTCATTGCCAAACAGAATTTACCCAGCAGTTCCTGATTTTTCCCTCAGCAGATATCCTATAAATCTGTCCTAAAGGAAGGGCATGATAGCCACTGGCTGATGAACAGCAGGTTTCTCCAGGGAGTAATGCAGCATTTCCTCCAAATCAATGGGAATACAGCTGATATTTCAGTGTAAAGAAGAAATACATACACAAGATCTATAAGATCTTTAAGGAACATGAGATATGTCTTGTGTACAAGGAAGAAATACATATACAAGATCTATAAGATCTTTAAGGAACATGAAATATATCTTGTATACAAGGCGTTAAGCACTGGGAACACATTGATTCTCTTCAATTACATTCTAGGGATAAAAAATAATCTAAAAAACTTCTCCAGTATCCTGATTCCTATGTCTTCTGCCATGGAATTCCAAGGTTATACCAAGCCCATATACCCACTCCACTCTGTGTTTGCTCTTGACCTCTCCAAACCAACACAGTCGGAATTTAATTTCCCCATTCTTGCCTTCCTTGCAGCAGCTTGTGTGTTATCAATGATAATTAGTGTAGTTGATCTAGATAATACTGGTTGGGACTAATAAATTTCACTTCCCACAAAATCAGACACACAAACCATTTTTTAAGGAAATAAATATAAACAGAAACTCTGATAAACTGATAGGTAAGAAGTGATTAAGCAATGCATCATAACCAAGAAATGCAGTGGGTAGCCAATCAGTCATAGGCTTTGTAAAAAGAGCCCCTATTTGAGAGATGGGCTTCAGTCTGTTTTATTCATCTATTGTTGTGATAAGTGTAGGAATTGCTGGAAGAAATCTTATAATCTATTTTTGCAAGGAATCAGATTGGCTGGTTTAATACGATCCCTTCCAGCTGCTGAGCCACTAAAAACTAGAATTGTTTGCACATTCACTGACCATGAAAGGATAAAGAAAGGGGTTGTGTGCCAAACGAAAACTGAACCAAGTCCCCAGAAATCTGTCATTGCTTTTCTGTTGTCTGTGTTGCATGAGTAACAGGATGACTCAACAGAGAGGACCTTGAAAGCAGCAGATATTAATTCAATTCATGCCATCAGGACATTCCCACTCCTAGCTCTACACCTTTGCTATTAAATAAGGTTCACATTGCTTGAGTACATTGATAGGGCACTGTGAGATTTTGGGGTGAAAAGAATCACCTAAAATCTGGGTATCAGCCAGACTGATCTGGTCTAACATCCCAGGAGGGAACGTTCCCTACTGGTGAGGTCTATCCCCTGTTGCACAGACAGGACATGGCCAATATGATGCCTTGGAGTGGCTACCTGCAACAGAGGCTAGACAAGATAAAGAGAATAAAAGTGGGTATTTATTGAAAGCTGTCAATAGGTTCACCTTGGGCAGTCAGGAACCTCTAAGTGGGGCTACACCACGATGGATGATGGTGACAAATTTTCATGCAGTTACAAGTTTGGTCTGTTTACATACCAGAGGTTATACTGGTGCCTTAAGCAGCTGGAACAGAGGCTAGAAAAGAGTTAAAGAGAATAAAGAGGATATTTACTGAAGAGCCTTCAAAGGCCACACCCTGGCAGTAGTGGAGCCACAATCATGGCTCTGCTCAGATGGCTCCAAGATGGAAGCAAAATAGGGCTTGGTCACGAGAGCTCACATTTTTGTAAGTCCTGATCCACTTGCATCTTGGTTAATTGCCCAACCACAGTTCCAGCCCATGAAGTCCCATCCTCCTTTTTTTTCTCTCTTCAGTCAATCTTTTTTTATGCTCTTGGGCCTGAGATCTGGATTGGTTGTCCTTGGTCCCCAGATAGAGAAGAAATTGTTTTGTCTCCCTGCTCTGTGAAGAGAGCTCACCATCCCCTAATATGAATGGTTTCTAATATGAAACCCAGACCCACACACTAAAGCAGCACAGAATCTGGAAAAAAAAAATTTAAAAAGCTAAAGCCTGAGGCATCAAATCTTTCAAATTACAGCTTCAGGTAATGAAGTCACATACCTCCAGTTTGCTCACTTTTGTTTATACTTTTCAGGGCCTGAGACAGTCAGGTGTCCCTGAGTTTCAGGCCCAGAGAGGAATTGTTTTGTCTGAATAAAACAGGAGAACCGCAGCTGACAGGCTGTGGAGTTTTAGAGAAACACCCTAAAGCAGTACAGGATCTGAAAAACTGAATGGTTTCTAATATGAAACCCAGACCCACACACTAAAGCAGCACAGAATCTGAAAAAAAATAATTTAAAAAGCTAAGGCCTGAGGCATCAAATCTTTCAAATTACAGCTTCAGGTAATGAAGTCACATACCTCCAGTTCGCTCACTTATGTTTATACTTTTCAGGGCCTGAGACAGTCAGGTGTCCCTGAGTTTCAGGCCCAGAGAGGAATTGTTTTGTCTGAATAAAACAGGAGAACCGCAGCTGACAGGCTGTGGAGTTTTAGAGAAACACCCTAAAGCAGTACAGGATCTGAAAAACATAAAAAGCTAAATCCCACGGCATCAAATAGGATTGGGCAGAGGCCCGCTGGAGTGGATCCTGCTTTGTGTTTTGGCTGAGGCATCAAATCTTTCAAATTACAGCTTCAGGTAATGAAGTCACATACCTCCAGTTTGCTCACTTTTGTTTATACTTTTCAGGGCCTGAGACAGTCAGGTGTCCCTGAGTTTCAGGCCCAGAGAGGAATTGTTTTGTCTGAATAAAACAGGAGAACCGCAGCTGACAGGCTGTGGAGTTTTAGAGAAACACCCTAAAGCAGTACAGGATCTGAAAAACATAAAAAGCTAAATCCCACGGTATCAAATAGGATTGGGCAGAGGCCCGCTGGAGTGGATCCTGCTTCGTGTTTTGGTTTGGCTTCCCTGGCTCACCGCGCTCAGCAGCTGGCCCCATGTCACCGCCTCGCGAGCCGCCGGTGCCGCGGCTCCTCCCGCGCGCGCAGCAGGAACGTCGTGCGGAGCTGTGCTCTATGGGCTTGACATCATCATACTTGGGATGTATGACACGAAGTCCCAAGCAGGCTGATGTCAGGCCCAAGATGCCATCCTGTGTCGGTTTTCCATGTGCTCCCCGCCCCCGAGAGGGGCTCTCTGCTCATGGCTTGTTAAACGGCAGCTCCTTCCATGGCAAAACCCATTCCAGTGAGAGGAATTCCCCTCTAGTGATGGGCTCTATTCCTTGAAGGAAAATGCTGATGTTTTACCCCTCTCTTTCCATCTCCACAGGTGAACTTCATCCTCTTCATCTGCATCATCCGTATCTTAGTCCAGAAGCTGCATTCCCCAGATGTTGGGCACAATGAAACCAGCCAATATTCGTAAGTCCCACACTTTTCCAAGCCTATCTTAAAAGTGGTTTTTGGGAAACCTGCCTGGCTGCTTGATAGTTCATTATTGTGTCTTGATTAATGAGCAAAATCAATTAATTTTAATTGCTTAAAGCAGATTAGAAATCAGGAAATGGAGCATTTGCTAAAAGAGCTGGGCAGGTTTTATGTCAGTTTGTGGCAGATGAGAGGGATTTCTCCTGGGATTAATGATGAAGAAATGAGAGTAATAATAATGATCATGAAGCCAAATATAATTTTGCTTTGAATATTTAATATTTATTGGATTCTGAAGACAGAAAGACCCTGATGGAAACCAAAAAGTTGCTCTCCATAGTGTACAGGCTTTTTTCCCTGACCTTCAGTTTTAAAGGAGAGATCTAGAAAATTACCATTCAGTAAGATCTATGACAAATTTTCCTTATCCTAAAAGATATCTCTAAACAAGATTGGATTAGCTCAATACATTTCTCTTCTCTTTTGAGAAGGATCACTGTCTTAGAAGTTTTACTTGACTTAATACTTTTATTCCAGGGATGTGAGGTTGACCTTAATGGGGCTTTATATAATGAACAACATACCAGAGAGATCAACATCTTTCTCTCAGTGGCCAAAGCTGGTCTCAGCTGCAGTATTTTAAGAGTGAAAGAAATGTCCATTTGCATGGATTTATTCTGGCTTCAATGCAAATAAAATAAAAGTCCAGACCAGGTTATTGTTGATTCTTCCCACTGTTCTGGCTCCGCTTTTCAGCTATCCTGGGTATTTATTTAATGTTTCCTAGAATAGAATTAAATGAAAAGAGTCCAGTGTCTGCATGGTCGCTGCTTGTAAATCTTTGTCTTTGGAGGGAGCTGTGCTTTTGGGTACCCTGAAAAATATCAGTTCGTCTTGCTGCAGGATGGAAAAAAGTAACAATATGTTCCTTAAATCCTGCCCAGCCACGCCACTGAGACTTTTTCTCTGGTGATGGTGAATTATTCATTTCATCTGCCTCGAGAGATTCTCAAATTTATGAAAGGAAATGCCAGTGTTTGACCTTAATTTTCCTGGCAGCAGCCAAAGCCAATTACCTATTTTTCTGTCATCACAACACACCTACATTACCAGACCTTGCACTTTCTACCAGCTGCCCTTCTGGATTTCCAACTGGGAATTTTATCTTTGCACCCCAGGTTTGCAGCAGGTGCAGAGATTAAATCAGCATATTTAAATAATTTCTAGTACTGAGCAGTGTCCTGGCACTGCTGGCTCCTGTTCACCTCAGCAAAAGTGCTGCCAACGTGCACCTGATGAGTTATGTCCAGATTATCTCACAGGTCATGCTGGGCTTTGGGTTCAGGACACATTTTCCAGTGAGGTGGAGCTGCCAGGAAAGCTCTTTTTGCCTTGTAAACAAACACAGGGCATGTTGGTAAAACACAGAGTTCCCCTCACTGACCTGCTCAACAGGGGGTTCTGCTGAAGGACAACTGATCCTGACACCCACAGATCCTCACCTTCCTTCACCACCTGGAGAGATGGCTCAGTTCCACTGGGGAATTATGGTTGTGTTCAAGGGTCACAGGATGAGAGAAGAGATGAGAACCTTGACTTCATGTTTCAGAAGGCTGATTTATTATACTGTGATATTCTATTCTGTTCTATTCTATTCTATTCTATTCTATTCAAGATCACATTAGAAATCAGCAAAACGTGGAGAAGTTGAAGCTTCCTAGCTTCTCAGGAGAAAAGGTCCTGGCAAAAGGATTTTCATAAAAATATCATGGTGACAGGGAATGAATCAGTTGCTCACTTCACAGAATCACAGAATCCCAGAACATTTTGGATTGGGAGGGACCTTAAATCTCATCCAGTTCCAACCCCCTGCCATGGCCAGGGATACCTTCCTCTATCCCAGGTTGCTCAGAGCTCCTTCCAACCTGACCCTAAAATTTTAGGTTTCCAAGGGACGTGAGGTAGTTCAGGACACTTCCAATACTTGCAGGGACCTGTCACACAGGACATAGGACCTATGGCACACTTGTCCCCCTGTACAGAGGCACCTGGCCACCAGCCACATCTGGAAAACTCTGTTGACTGTATTCACTGTAGTAGGTACAAGACACCACACTTTCCTTTGGAAACAAATATTAATTGTCTGAAACTGAAGGCTGGACCTCACCAAGGCAAGTTCTCAGTGTGGTCCTAAGATTTTTACTTTCAGACAGAAATCTGTGGAGGCTTCTGGGGTTTGAGTGCAGGACCCAACAGTTCTTAGCAAAAAAACTGCTCCTGAAATGTTGAGGGAGCTGGGGGTGTTTAGCCTGGAGAAAAGGAGGCTCAGGGTGACCCTATTGCTCTCCACAACTCCCTGAAAGGAGGTTGGAGCCAGATGGGGATTGGGCTCTTCTCCCAGGCAACAAGTGGCAGGATGAGAGGAAATGGCTTCAAGGTGTACCTGGAGAGGTTCAGGTTGGACATCAGGAGGAATTGTTCACCAAAAGGGTTGTGAAGCATTGGAAGGGGCTGCCCAGGGAGGTTGTGGACTCCCCATCCCTGGAGGTGTCCAAGGAAGGCCTGGAGGTGGCACTCAGTGCTCTGGGCTGGGACAAGGTGGGGATCAGGCACAGCTTGGACTGGATGGTCTGGGATGTCTTTCCCAACCAAATGCCTCTGTGATTCTGTGCATTCCTCCTGCCAAACCTGAGACAAATCTGTTTTAAACAAACAGCATCCTGGATATCTCATTTGCATTTCTCCCTCCTTCTGATGTGTATTTTATACTGTTTATTTTCTACAAACACAGCCTGCTGACGTGCTGACAGCATTGTTCAGCTCCAAAAGGTCTGAGCTTAGCTGCAGGCTGGAAGTTCAGGTGCTGCTGACTCCCTCATTAATGCTGCAGACAGGGAGCTGGGCTTTCATGTTCTGGAAGCTCTGAGAACAAGTCTCCCAAAACAGTTTTCTGGAAATGACAGGGACTTGTGCAAGAATGGGACAGCAATATTTCAGGCAAATAGAATTTGTCTTCTGCAGGAGAAAACTTGAGCAAAATTAATCTCTCCATTCTGTCCATGTCTGTGGATCAATATTGTCATCAAAGTCCTCTGAGTAACTTTTCCATTATGATTTCAAGGAGCGTGACTGAAATGTTGGTTCACTCTTGCCCACTCCCAAGGGCAGGAGCAGATTCCATGCAGGTTAATGGACATGTGTTCTCCCAAAATTACCTGTCACCACATGTATCTGTCAGAGAGGGGAGGTCTGGGATGTGCTGGGAATCAGAGCAATGATGGTTTTGATAATCCATGGTTTCCAGCAGATTTAACCAGCTTTACACAATCCCCCAAGCAGTTCTGCCTCCTGTGCAGCCAGGCTTGAGCTTCCTGGGAGAAATCACACTGGGACTGGGTGATGATTTTGTGTTTAGGTGGTGGAGTCTTTTAAAAATCACAGAGCCCTTGCCTTGATGCCAAAATAAAATCTAAAACTCAGTATCTGGTGAAGCTCAGTGCTGGGAATAAGAGACTGGTGTGAGGTGTGCAGATTGGAGGAGGGGGCTCAAGTTTTGTCATTAATGTCCTTTTCATCACCACAATCCAGCCAGGAGGGAAAATATTGTAATTAAGGTCCCAGTGTTGTCTGCAATGATAAGATAAAATTTTCTAATCCACTGGAGGTTGCAAACAGCATCTCTGTCAATGTGGGACACAAAGGTAGCACCACATCTCCTCCTCTAGGCTGATGTTCCTCAGACAACTCAGATTTTTGATCCCTGAGAGCAGGGATGTACCTGCTAGTGAGGGCTGTGAGAAAGGCAAACTCCTGTAAAGTCCCTCATCTTCCTGCAGGCTCTCATTTTTCCTGGAATGAGCCACAGCCTCCAACCACAGCCTCAGTGTTGAGCTGTCTCTGGGCCAGCCCCAGGGAGAGCTACAGAGGAGCTCTGGGAGGCACAGGGATGAGCATCCTCTGCAGAAAGCTGCCACATCAGCCTCCCCGTGGGCTCCTGCAGGTGGCAAATAAATGAAGATGGTCTGAGAGGTCTGAGCCTGAGGAGGCTTTGGAGGTGGAGGGGTTCCAGGTGGAATAATGAGTATTTCCAACATCCCAGCCTTACCTTTATTTCCTCCAGAAGCCTCTGAGAGAGGGGGAAATGTCAGAGGATACGAGGGACCAAGTGAGACAAAACCCCCACAAGCATCCTTAGACCCTTTATTTAATTTTCTTTCTGCCAGCTACTTTTAAAATAATGATTACATTTAATACATTATCATCTCTTCCTAATTAGACCCCTGATTACCCAGCATGATGCCATTAAGCACTAATACTGTTCATCCCCCTCCTTTGGAGACATTCATTGTGCAGTAGCCTGTCATTACTCTGAGCTAAACATACCATTTCTCTCCCAGAAGCTGTAATTTTCTGAAATCCCAGGCAAACAAAGACATTGCTAGATGATGATTTAGCTTGTGGAGATGAAAAAAAGATCTCTGGTGGGTGGGGAAGAAGAGAGGAGGGAGAAAGAAATACCTCCAGTGGAGCTACTGGGAATAAAAATGTCACATTTTATGGTGCCACCAGGTCTGAAATCACCAGCCATCTGCAGTCTGTGGGACAAGGAGAAATAGCAAATTTTCAGGGTTTATTTCAGGGCTCAGCTGCAGGATTCCTCAACCTCTTACCCTCTTCCCTCTCCCCTCGTGGCTCATGTTTGTCTTTCCAACAGGAGGCTGGCCAAGTCCACTCTGCTGCTGATCCCTCTCTTTGGCATTCACTACATCATGTTTGCTTTCTTCCCTGACAATTTCAAAGCAGAAGTGAAGCTGGTCTTTGAGCTCGTGGTTGGGTCATTCCAGGTAAGCCACCATTTGGGTCACCAGGTCTGTCACCAGGGAGAAATGCAACAAGCTGGACATGGCTTTTTTTTCTGGACATGCCCCATACTGATCTTGTACCTTTATGGAAAATCTACTCACTCCAGCCTGGCCAGGATGAAAGATAAATCTATATTTTGCCTTCCAGAAGGAGATTCTCTTCCCTCATTTTAGGAAATGAAAAGAAAATGTTCCTCTGTGCATTGGTGTCTCTGTGTTTTTCCTACTTAAGGGAGAAAAATTAGCACCACAGTTCAGTTTTTGTATCATTGGTGTGTCCAAGGCCACGGCAGATGGGGCTTTGGGCAGCAAATTTCATTCAGTGGTGAATGATTAAGATCCCTGTCTACATCATCATCACTGCACATCTGGCATCTGGAAGTGTTCAAAAACTGCAGATGTGGCACCTGGGGACATGGGTCAGTGGTGGACTTGGCTGTGCTGGGGGAATGGTTGGCCTTGATGACCTTAGAGGTCTTTTCCAACCTGAACACTTCTGTGGTTGTGTGATCTCTCCTTTAGGAGCTGAATGGATCTACACTCTCTCCTTGTCTGTAGTGCTAAAATCCTGTTTTCTCCTTTCCCCAGGGGTTTGTGGTGGCTGTTCTCTACTGCTTCCTCAATGGAGAGGTAAGACCAGACCATCAGGGTTTTTTGGTCAATGTTTGCAGCTAGGAAAAAATGAATGCATTGGAGAGCGAATTGAGAAGTGTCCCATTCCTGATCCTGGTGTTACAGAATTGGGGGAAGCATCCAGATCACATCTCTCTCTCCAGGAAAACAATTCAACCATTTGCCTGACAGTTTTCAGCACAATAATAACAACAATTAATAAACACATCAGGACTTGTGCTTGCACTGTAGAGTTGCTGCTGAGCCCATCCTCTCCTCGTGAGACAGCATGAGCAGAACTCCTGTGTGAACTTGCACAATCCCTGATCCCAAAGCACCACCTTCAGCAGGGCAGGATAAATCCCATGTAAGCCCTGTTCATGCCTGGTGCCTCCAGGAATCCTCCTCAGGATCACAGCCACTGCCAAAACCAGCACAGGCATTGGTGTGACTGCACAGAGCAGTGCAGGTGAACGTGTTTCTGCCTTGCAGGAGTAATATTGACTTTCCCACGTTTTAGTCCTGGCATTCTCATCCTGGGATTGTGCTGTTCTGTGTTTGTTTATCCCAGAGCCCTTCAGACACAGGTGTTCCATCTAATTTATGCTGTTACCTAAAAATTTGCACTAGAGGGCTGCAGGAGGGGACAAGGGCAGTGGCCAGGTTTGTTCAGGATTTGAATTGGGATGGCATAGACCAGGTTATTTCTGTAAACACTCTGAGCAGCAACAAGCAGCTTCTGTCAAAAAAAAGCACAGCTGTATTGACAGCTTTACAAACAAGCTGTAGTTAAATCACTTATATTTGAACCAAAAACAGGGCAGTGGAAAAAAAAGCATCTAAATTATACTTACCAAGTGTTGTCATTGAAGTTAAGTAATCTAGCACCTTGATTGTATAAATGAGAATTTCCTTTCTGATGAAGCTCAGGGATTTCTGCTCCAGTAATTTACTGACTGAAGTGTCCCTTTATGTGGTTAAAAGTTATATCTAAGCCAAGTTTAGTGGCCTTTATAAAGTAACTCTTGGCCCTGGGGTGGGGGGTTATCCAAGGCTGCTCACATAATCAGGTCAGAACAGGCTGGGAATGGTGTGGCTGGACAGTGCCCAGGCAGAAAGGGACCTGGCAGGGCTGGACAACAATGACTGACCATGAGCCAGCAGAGTGCCCTGGTGGCATTCTGGGAATTCTGTGAACATCAAGTGATGCCCTGTGCTGCCTTTTCTCTTCCCCACGCCCAGGTGCAAGCTGAGCTCAAGAGGAAGTGGCGGAGGTGGCACCTGGAGCGGTTCCTGGGCTCGGATATGAAGTACCACCACCCTTCCCTGGGCAGCAACGGCACCAACTTCAGCACCCAGATCTCCATGCTGACCAAGTGCTCGCCAAAGACGCGCCGCTGCTCCGGCTTCCAGGCCGAGTTCTCCCTGGTGTGAGGGGCTCCCCAGGCACTGAGCATCCAAAGCTGAGACACGAGGATCCCCGGGAATCAGTGATCCCATGACAAACCCCTGTGAAATGACCTGCTCCACATGAGCCAACAGAGGACACACAACTGGAAAAGCCACTGGCATCCAGGATGAGATCAGACAAGCCAAGAGGCAGAGAAACACTTTTGGTCTCCCTCTTTTCAGGCCTTTCACTCTTCAATTTCAAGCCCTCAGGGATTGATAGCTCTGAGGAATTGTCCAAGTTGCTTGAGGACAGCCTGGGAGATGCTGGTGTGTCATAAATAATGAAGCACTGGGGTGAGGGAGGGAGAGCCTCAGTCCTCAGTGGCTTTACCAGAACTGGCATCTCTAAAACAGACAAATTGCACTTTTTTTTCTAAAGAATGAGCCAGTAAAGGAGAGACAGAGACAGGAAGCAGGAAAAAAAAAAACAAACCACCAAACATATGAATGTGCCAAAATTCCTGTGAATAAGAGGTGATGATACAGCACCAAAGATGGTGCTGGGGACATGGGGAGAAGGGACAGGAGGAACATGAGCAGGAATGGAGAGGCCAGCACATGGCCCCCACGTTTTACACAGGTGGAGATGAATCTGCAGCACCAGGAGAGCCCCTCAGAGGATGCCCCAGTGTGTTCTGCTAATTCCCCACCATCCTTGGGAGCAGGAGCTTTCCAGGAACCCTGTGGAAGAGCAGATCACTGAGAAGGACCAGCGTGAGGACGCCCTTCTCTGCACTGTGTTGGTGACATGGTGCTTTGCTTGGTTGTGTTCCATGAACAGGAAACTCAATTTGCATGTATAAAAATCAGGGCCAGATGCCAAAAGCAGAGCACGGCTGTGTTTTTTCATTCTCTTTAAGTTGTCCCAAAGATCTCGGTGCATGGATGCACCCAGGATAATTAGGGATCAGGGGGAAATAATTGGGCTGTAATTCATTTGCACTTGCTTAGCATACACTGTCAGGAAAGGGAAATATAGGGCCCTGTAATCCTTAATTGAGTCACAGCTGCCATAAGGAGCCATTCTCCAGATGAAAAAAATTAGTGTCACAGCAGCAGGTGAAATTGCTTTCATCAGAACAAGGTTGTCTCAGCACACAACTGGCACTCCAGGAGGGAGGAAGGAGTGAAGGAGCTATTAAATGGATTTCTTCTTCAGCTTTTGTGGGGAGCTTTCATCCTATATGAAGGCATTGTTAGACGTTTAAGATGTATGTGTGCATTTTACCTCTTTTCTGAAGGCCTGTTAGTTTCCATCCAGGGGCAATTCCTACTTGAAGAATGCACATGGATCCCATTAAAACCAAGGGAGTAGGGTTTTTTTTAATTCTTGTTTTCATGGTGGAGAGGCAAAGGAGAAATATTAAAGCCCAGTCCTGCTCATTTGAGGCAACCCCACAGTCCCAAACTCAAAATACAGGGTACAGATGTTCATGTTTGTGTCCCACTCAGCTGCATCGAGTGGGGTTGAAAAAGTTTTGTGCTGAGGGTGGGAAATCCCTGCCCATCTCATGTGTACCCTCAGTAATTGGGCTGCTGCCATGCTACTGAAACATGTCTTCGTGAAGGAGTGTCTGGGTCACCAACACAGGCACCTGGAGAGGGAGGTGGGCTCCTCTTTTAGAGCTCAGAGACCTCAACTTACCTGCTTTATTTCTCCAAAACGAAATGCAGCTCACTGGAGGGAAGCACCTGCAGCCTGGTGGGGTTGGGGGGTGTTGGCCTTAAGCAAAGGGTGCCAAGAAACCACACTGAGCTCAGGAGGAGACTTGCAGATCCAGCTCCTTTCTGAGTCCTGACAGGGCAGAATTCCATGCCATCACCATTCCCAGAGCCTGTTATCAGCTCAGCTGGATGCTCCCAAAGTATTTCTCCAGCTCTGAGAACAGCGTGGGGGGCTGGAGTCAGTAAAGGGCCACGAGGAACTGTGATCCACCAAGGGCAAACTTGCAGTCCTCAGTTTGCAGGGAGCCAGCCCAGATCCTGTCACAGTGCAGCCCTGGCTACCCAGCCTGTAGGTCCTAAAACTACAGGAAGATGTGAAAATTCCTGAAATTACAGTGCTGGTGACCCCAGGCTGGCCAGGTGTGAGCCAGCTTTGTTATGGCTACTTTACACTGAGCCCACATCAACAGTGAGGGTACAACTCTGACGTGCCATAAGATCATCAAAATGCAGCTCCCTGATTCCCAAAATGCAGAGAAAACAAGAAGATGCTCAAAATTTCCCCACTTTTCTTGCATTGAAGCCCTTATGCCTTGACACCCCTCAAACAACATCCCATTGAAATCCAGAAGGTTCTCAGAGGCAAGAACCTTTGAAGTGGTCCTGGTCAGAGTACAAGAAGAGTTTGGATGATGCTCTCAGATCCTTGGTGTGATTTTTGGGGTTGTCCTGTGCAGGACCAGGAGTTGGACTCGATGATCCTTGTGGGTCCCTTCTAACTCAGGATATTCCGTGATTCTCTTTGTGTTTGGTGCTTGTGTTGCTCTACTGAGCATTTTCAAACCTGGATTAGGACTCACCCAGGAAATACTGGAGAAATCCCACCAGTACCTCCAGTTCTTCTGCTGTGCTTGGTTCAAAGCAAGGACTTGACCTGCATTTTCCAGGTGAATTATTAACTTCAAGGAAACCCAGAAGAAGCAAAGAAAAATTCTGTCTCAGCTTCCAAGTTGATGTAAAATGCTTTGTCTCACTGGTTCAGAGCTTTGAAGCAATGTCAGTCTGGGAAACATTGGATCCATCAGGCTGCAAAGCCATTCCCCCTGTTCATCTGTCATGATAATATTTATACTCAACAAAACTGATGGGCTGCAGAGGAACACTGCCCAATCTTGGGAATGCATCCACTGAGGTGTGAACTGGAATTTCAGGTCCCAGCCAAGCAGCAGAGGAGCTGGAGCACAGAGCTGTAGAGCAGAAGTGCAGCACCACTGCCAGCAGCCTCCTTTGTGGGATGTGAGGGAATCCCTTCCCATCTGTTCCAGGCAGCCTTGCTGGGGGGAAAGCCTCTGAGCCATCCTGTGAGACACACGGAGCATTTTCCCTCTGGTCTTCCCTTTCCTCTCCCTGTGCTCCCTTTTCCTCTCAGTTTTCAGGAGGAAATGTGTGTGTTTGCAGCTTTTCTTGTGTTCCAGCCCTGTGCTAACCCCTGCCAGCACCAGCCAAGTGCCAAAGACAGCCAGCAAAGGTTTGCCTTTTGGAGATGTGACAGGGAAAAACCCCAGCTGGTTATTTACCCTCACCACAGGCTCCTCTGCAGCCTGTCACACTCCCCACCAGGCTGTTCTGCACAGGAACCTGAAGATGGGATGTTCCCTAAGCTGAGGGGGCTCCTTCAAAAAGTGTGGAGTACACCAGCATGCCAGAGCTGTGCTCCCAGGCACCCTACTGACAATTATTGCATTACTGAACATCCAGCCACGCCTCCTCTCTGCTGTCAAGGGTGTTTGAGGGATGAAATGAACGTGCTGAATGGACCTGCTGTGACAGGCATGGCAATGTCAGCGATGCAGAGCTGCCAGCCCAGCTGCCTTGGCCCCGTGTTCCAGGAAAACAGAGGAGCTGGGGGTGGAATCACTTTATAAAGAGTGAAATCTTCTCACTCTGGGGACGTGAGCAATCAAGTGAATGATTACATTGGGATTGGGCCCTGTTTGACTGGCTTAGTGCAGGAATTTGGCTCCATAACTTGGCCTGGCCTAATCTGATTTTCATCCAGCTCATCAATAAAATGGAATTCAAGGACTTCACTGCAGATGACAACGTGGAGCAAGCTGTCCTGGCCCCATGACCTGGCCCTGAGTCCTGGCCCCACACAGAGCACAGAACAGAGCTCAGCACTTTTGCTGCTCCCCCAGCTCCAGCCTGACCCCAGAACTGACCCCAGCAGGGCAACTACATCCATTTGCTGCTTCAAAGACCAGAGATGTGCCTCCTGAAAGGTATTAAAGGAGAAAAGGAGACTCAGGGCTGCCCTCATCACTCTGCACAGCTCCTGAAAGGTGCCTGTGCTCAGCTGGGGCTGGGCTCTGTCTGCAGCAGCACTGACACAACCAGAGCACACAGCCTCCAGCTGCACCCAGGGAAATACAGGCTGGAGATCAGGAAAAAGTTTTTCACAGCAAGAGTGCTAAAGTTCTGGAATGGCTGCCCGGGGAGGTGGTGCAGTCCCCATCCCTGGGTGTGTTTAACAAAGCCTGGATGTGGCACTGGGTGCCAGGGTTGAGTTGAGCTGTTGGGGCTGGGTTGGACTCGATGGTCTTGAAGGTCTCTTCCAACCTGGTCATTCTGGGAATTCTGTGAAAGCTTCTTCTGCCTCTGCTAAAAGGCACAGATGTGTTTGAGGATCATGAATGTGGGCTCCAAAACTCTTTATAGAAATAAAGCCAAATTCTGATCCTGCTTGCACCAATCACCTCACTGCAGGACTACTGAATTACACCAGCATTAAACTGGGATTTGCCTTCAAAATAATTCCTTTTTCTTCATTCTGGAGCTGCTTACCCCCTTTTTATATCAGGGATAGAGTATGCCCCCCTGTTCTATGCTTCAGTGATTGAATTATTTAAAACTGATAATAAGTACAGAACAATTAAAATATAAACAATAAATTATTGTCAAGGTCTGGAGGTACCAGGTTCAGTGCTAACATTAGACTGCAGATATTTCTGTTCAGCTGGGACCTGTGTTGCTCTGTGACCCTCTCACAAACAGCAAGAAATGAGAATATGACCCTGTTTAGAGTTTAGAAAATAAATTCTGTTGCAGAATTTTAGGGGCATTAAAATCAAACAAGTTTTTAAAATCAGAGTTATGTATGCAGGAGCAGCAGCATTACTGTGGAATGAAAAGGGGGAAAGGCCAGAAGATGAAAGATCTGAGCATTTTGTTTTATTTTTGGCTTGTTTGGGTTTTTTTGCTAAGAAAAAAAAAGTTATGTTTTTCTCAAGGAAAGTGTTGATGGAGAAAAGATATTTTATACATGAACTAATCATCAGATTTCCTTTTTTCTCTATATCCCACTGGGTTCCCATTCATCTCAAAAGCAATGAGGGTCATGTCTGTGCCACAGGGCAGAGGGATTAAACCCAAATCTCTGCTCCAATCTGATGGGAATGCTTTCAGAGAGAAATGCACCTGCTGATTAATGGAAGATTGCTGATAGCTTTTCAAAAGCAAAACGAAGTTCCAAAGAAAGCTCAGCAGTGAATGAACACCACTTGGCTCCATGACAGGGATTAAAGGGGTTTGGGGGGGATTTTTTTGTCTCCATTCCTTCCAGCTTCACCCCAGGGTTTAAACAAGGGGAAAGGAAATATGGGGAAAGAAAATACAAAATAATTTCAGACTAAAAGGGAATCTCTCAAACTGGGAAGTGCCAATATGTGTCTCCATGAAGCTTATTTTACTCTCACCACACAGGTACATCTTTGGTTTGGTAAATGGACTGTGGAAACACAGGTGGACCAGAAGCAAAGTCCCTTCTCTGGGAGGTGAATGCAGCTGTAACAGGAAAGCCCACATAAAATATTCCTCCTGCTGTGTCCCACTGGGTGTTTGGCACAGCCCAGGCTCCCTCCCAGCCTTGTGCTTCCCCCCGTGGCATCTCTGCAGCCATGAATGTGCCAAACTCCTGGGGACAGGGATTGCAGTCCTGAATTCCCTGGCTCACAATGCAAATTTGCACTTTTCCCACCCCAGTGCTGATGGGGCCAGCACCACGAAGCTGCTTCACTGGAGATGAACCTTGAGGAGCAGGGCTCACACACACCCACATCCATCCAGAAGGACTCTGCTGGCATCATTCAGGCACTAAACTGCTGTAAAAAGGAAAATATTCCAGTCCCAGACTGGCAGGTGGAGTCAGATGTCCCAAAATGTGGATTTCAATACATTTCTTTTCAGTCAGTCAGCTTTTCATCCCCTCTCCAAACCCAGTATTTGCATTTCAGTCTGATGAGGTATAATTACAGTGACTGACCCTGTTATTTCCCCTGGAGACCTGTGCAGATGAAAATATGGCTTTTAATCAGGAGTTTTTTGAGTGCACAGATCATCTTTTCCACCTCTTCCTGAATGTCCTAACTTGCATGACGTTGTCCTATATCCTGAAGAGCCCTGGGTTTGAAATTCTGGTTATTTCTAGAATACTGTGAAATCACAGGGGAGAAAGCAAATATTTGGGACTGGAGGCTACAGGTGTGTAAAGAAAATAATGCTCACTTGTGTTCTGAGTGCACACACATTGGCAGCAGCAGAGCACCAGTGTTTTATACCCAAGTTTTGTGGATATTGTACATTTGTACATAGAGGAAATCTGAAGAGCACATTAAAAAGATAAAAATAAACACCACATTTTTGATACTCAGATGATGATGAAAAATCGAGTTCGAAAAGGCAGTTTTGAACTCAAAAGTGCATTTTCAGAGCCTGTTTCAAACACCTCAAGCTGTGGGTCAGCAGCTGGTGCCAGCTGACCCTTCTCACTCCAGCTGTAAACACCTCTGCTCTGCCCTGCTGTAAATAGGCTTTGGCAGCAGAGGGTGATGGGCACTGGCTGTGAGCAGAGAATCTCTCTCTCTGTGAGCTTCTCTGTACCAGGTGCTTGTGATGTATCCTCCATGCCAGCAAGAACAGGCCTGCTTGCTCAGCACAGGTGAAGTCTCTGCCTTGTTCCATGGCCTTTTGCCTGATGTTATTTATTTTTGGTCTGACTCTGTACATATGCAATGAAATGGCTATTTTTTTTCTTTTTTTTTTTCTTTTTTTTTTTCTTTTTTTTTTTTCCTTTGTATTTGGGTCGCCTCCTTGCTTCAGAGGGGGTTCTTCTCTGTGGTTGACACTGCTGAAAACAAGCAATAAAACCATCGTGAAGACATTGTGTCTGAGGTGTTCCACCTGATATTTTAATTTTTTCCTCACAGTCCTGGAGAAGACACAGAGAAGGAAAACTAAGAAGGAAGTTGTGAACTGGGGAGGTTCTTGCTTAGAGTTAAGCATAATGACCTCATGCTTTGAAAAGTTAACCAGATAGACCAAATCACTCTTAAAATCAGAGAATCATAGAAATATTAACATTGAAAGGGACCATTTAAAGGCCATTTAGTCCTTGCAGTGAGCAGGGACATCTTCAAGTAGATGGGAGTTCTGTGTAGACCTTCTTTGGGAACATCTCTGCCAGCAGAAGAACCAGAACCATATCCAACATAAATTACCCCAAAACCTCCCCCACTGCACGAGCTGGGTGCATGGATGGTCCTTTGGAGGCAGGACTGATGCATGGAGGTGACAACCATGAAATCACGTGATAATTTTGTCACAATCCACAGGTGTGAGATGATTCCTGCAATCACAGGAACGTACAACCCCACACACAAACACAGACGTGCTGATTGTTGCTGGAATATCCCCCAGCAAACATCTTCATTGCTCAGAACAAAGCATGAGCCTTCCTCTGTGCTGGAGAAAAGCCACAGGTGAACCATAATTGTTCATATCAAAGACACATTATTTGATGCACACAAATATCAGGCAGTGAAAACAGATCTCAACAAGAGGTCAGTGAGCTTTTCCATGTCCGTAGGGCCAGCTTGGCCACTCACCCCCTTCTTAAACTGATTCACACCCAGTGCTGACACTGCTGATAAAGGCCAAACCTACAACTTGAAATGACATGTCATGGCTATATTTGTCCATTTTTCTGCATGGATTAACCATTTTCATTTAAAACAAGGGGACTGATGCTCTGGGTCATTCTGAGAAGTGAAGCTCTTTGTACTGACTTCCACTGTGGGTTAAGCCAGAAACTGGGGAAAGCAGCTTGTGAGGGTTGGGGAAAGGGAAAACCAGCCAATTATGTTATTCTGTGTCTGTAGAGGTGAGGATCCCATCCTGCCAAAAAACATCTTCCACATGAGGAAGTCCAGTCACTGCTCAGAAATGAACGTAAGTGGGTTTGCTGAAGGTCATCTGAGAAGTCTAAAAAAAAAAAAAATCAGCCCAACCCTCTTTGGTCCCAGCTGTTTGTCCTCTGTGTCCTTCCTGGCTGGCAAAGAGCAAGGCATGGCTTTTCTTAGGCACGCACCATTATTCTGAATTTGATGGAACATGCAATCACAACTTCTGGAAGGTTTTGAGCTTGGCTTTTAGGGCCTCTCTGTGTAAGTTCAGTTTTCATGACTGCAAAAGTATCTTTTCTCTATTAGAAAGAATCGTGTTTAAAGATGGCAAATGACATCCTCTTCCTTTGATTCCCCATGGCAAAATACCAGGATGAGGAATTTTGTGATCTCCATGACATTAAAGCAATTTCCCATGTAGTGGATCAGTCCTAGTGGTTAAATCATCTTCATTCCACATGCAGTTGGTTGTATCTACACCCTCCCAGTGGGGATATAAACTGAACTGTGCCTCAGTACAATCCACAGAGGGGATTTGGATCTTCAGCCCAGAGAGATGCTGGGTTGTCCGAGGATCCCAAGGACATGTGGCACACAGAGCCTAGGCATGGTGTCACAGCTGTAACACTGCACTTTCTGAAAGCCTAGAAACCTCTTCTAACACTGACCGTGCTCACAGGGAAATCATTCCTACTGTAGAACCCCTCATGCACTTGTTAGTGTTCAGGAACACATAATCATGGAATGATTGTATGCAGGTGCTTTTATGGAAGAGCTCTGGGTGTGAGGGGTACAGACCCAAATCTGACTCTAACATGGGTTCAGGATGAACACATTTTTACACCCTTATCATTATATAACTATATAATCATTATTAAACCTATATTGTTCTATTGTATACGTCGGTTTCATCCAAGCATGGATTTTTGTAATTTCCATCATGAGATAGTTTCTCATGATTCTTGTTACAATTTAACAATAATTATGTCCAATTATCAAACAATCATCGCATTTAACAATCCTATCATTTATCATAGTCATTAAATGATTTTACAGGTGCAGTTTCACATGATCCAGTAAAGCCTAACATTTTCCCAGGGCCTACTAGGCCCAACCTTTTCCCAGCTCCCCTGAATATCCCATGATTTTAGAA